TAATGTCCTCTTTCTGCCTCTCCTTAATCCCATTCCCTCTGCCTCTCCAAATAACACTATCCTGAAGTTTCCATCCATCTTTCCAACCAAATTTATAGAATTTCACTACAGCTGTATGTATTCATAAACAATAAATGTTTTTTCCTGTTTCCAGATGTTAAATAAGCAGTTTCATTTTTTAAAAAATCAATTGCACTTCTGTCTACCAACAACAAACAGCTAGAAAACTAACTTTTAAAAAGACCATTTAGAATAAATCAAAAAGTAATATCTATCTAGGAATAAAGCTAACAGAAGATAAGCAAAACATTTAGGGAGAAAATGATAAACTACATTGAAAGACATTAAAGAAGATCTAAATAAATGGAGAAATATATTACATTCATGGGCTGGAAGATTCAATATCATGAAGATATCAATTCTCCTTAATGTCATTCCAGTCACAATCCCGAAAGAGACATAAAGTGGAGGGGGAAAAAAACCAAGCTGCAGAAGACAACATACAGAATGATCTATTTATATCAATTTCAAAAACACACAAAAGCAAACAATATATTGTTTAGCTATACAAACATATATGCAAACTAGAATGAAAAGTAAGAATACGATAAGTGGAAATACATGATAAGAGCTACAATTGAGTAGGAAGGGAACAGGAATTCAAAGGTGACGATAATGTTTTATTTCTTAAACAGAGTGATGTGAACATGAGTGTTCATCATATGAAAATCCTTTATACCTTACACATGCTTTATAAATAGTGTTTTGTGTTCAATCAATATTTAATAAAGACAAATTTTTTAAAAATAATGATATACATCTATAACACTGCCATGACAATATGTCAAAAACATATACGGTCAAGTGATAATGTTGAAAACCCTTATACACAATATTAATTAAGATATGTACCAAAATATTAATAGTGGCTGTGTAAAATATTACATAGAATATGCACAAATTTTTAATAGTGGAAATAAGCACCAAAATGTTAATGGTGGTTATGTATAATATTAAATAAAATACGCCGCTGATTTTAATAATGGTTATATATAATATTAAGTAAAATGTGCGCCAAATTAACAGTGGTTATGTCCTAGGGAAAGTTTGGCTGTCTTTAATTTTCTCTGTTGTATAGGAGTTGGATTTTTTGCAATTCACTATCAGAAAAAAAAAAAAAGAAAACAGAAAAAATTTTAATAACAAAGAATCATAGACTTGCAGGAAATATTCAAGGTATATTATATGGAGAAAAGACTGGATGAATTAAAAGAGAAAAACCTGAGAGCAAAGCAAAAACAGGGGAGGGGGTCTTAAAGTAATTCAAAGATGGGGTAAAGTGTGGTGACCAGGAACTGTAAAGAAAGGGCTAGATTCAAAACACTTCATGGAAGGGCTCTAGGGGCAATGAGACAAGAAAGTGCCTACATCTAAGGGGTGGCGAGAAAGGGAAGTTATGCTTTCAGGGGGAGGTAGAAATTATATGTCTGAGACATAATAGCAAACTTACCTCGTTCTCTTTTTATAAATGAGAATATAGGCACAGAGACTTTGAGCAACTTGTCCAAGTTTCTCAGCTGACAAGTGATAGAAGTGGAATTCAAATCCCAGCTCTCCACAGCCAAGGCCTTTGCGCTTAACTGCTATACAGGTGCACCTCTTGCTATCCATTAGGCAATATCCAGTTCCACTTCTTTGATATTAGTGGTTAGGGAGTTTAAAGGAGATGTTAGTACCAAGGACAGAATAATTGGGAGTACACTACATAGAGATAGCTGTGAAAACTGAAAATGAGTTATCTGATAGGAGATTACAAATGATGCAAAGAAGAGAACTGAAGAATAAATCTTGGAAAACAGACCCCTTTACTACTGCTATTATCTTAACAAAGTTAAGTGACTTGATAGAAGTGACAAGAATTAGAGAAAGACGTGTTCAAATCCCACCTCTGCTACTTACTAGCTGGGTGACCTCAGGGAAAACCGCTTAACTTCTCTGTGTGGCAGTATCTCATCTGTAAAATAGATGGTCATGAGAATTACATGAAACTGTATGTAAAGTACTTAGTATTGTAGCAGCCATATAATGGGTGCTCAATAAGTGCCACTTTATTTTTAATTTTGTATTAGAAACAGGAAGAGCAGAGACTGAGAAAGTAGTATTTAGGCACGTAAACATATTTGTTGAAACTCTAAAGAAATGTTCTTCTTCCTGATGTTTTTATAAAAGTCCTCCATTTCTTAGGAGAAGCTAATCTCTCCCTTGCCTCCCAGTTACCAAACTTCGCATCACTTTACTCATTACTTTGATCTATTTCCCTTCTAAGTAGAGGTACCCTTTCTTTCTTTTTTTCTTTCTTTTCTTCTCTAAGTGAGAGAATCATAGGCACAAGAAAACAAGGAAACAGAGCATATCTGTGAAGCATATCACAAATAAACACTGTAAAATACATGTGTTAAAGTTATTTTTAAAATAAAAAGATACAAATTTGAGAAAAGGACAGTATACTACCAAAAAGGATAAGGAATAATTGCAATATGAATTCTAGAAATGATAAATGTTATCGCTAAAATTAAAACCTCAGTGGGCATTTTAAGGAATTAGATATATTTGAAGAGAGGACTGGTGACTTGAAAGACATTTCTTGGGATATTTCCCAGAATGCAACACAAAGAGATTAAGAGCTGGAAAATATGAATGAGGGACAAAGAAAGAGGCATGTAGAAAAGCATCCAACATATACTTAATAGAGTTCAACATATACTTAATAGAGAGTCCAACATATACATAATAGAGTTCCAGAAAGAGAAATTAAAGAAAATGTGGAAAAAAACAACCTTGAAAGGGATAATGACTAATGATTCTCCACAGTGCTTGAGAGACATGAATGCTTAGTTACAGGAAAAACAACAGATCGCAATCCAAATAAATATAAATAAATTTCAGCCACAAAAGCTCACCATGAAAACTGCAAATATATGCAGTTAACACGCCACCATCAAAAAAAAAAAAAACCCAAAAAACAAAAAACAAGCCACCATCAACATTATAGAGAAATACAGTTAAAAACAAGTCAAGTGAACAAAAATGAGTGATGCTGGAACTCTCATACATTGTTGGTGGGAATGCAAAATGGTATAGCTGCTCTGGAAAGTGGTTTAGCAGTTTCTTATAAAATTAAACATACACTTATCATGTGACCCAAAAATCCCTCTCCTGGGTATTTACCCTAAAGAAATAAACTTATATGCTCAAAAACAGTGTGCATTAAAAAATTTGTGTGCAAATATTTATAACTGTTTTAGCTGTAATAGCCCAGAACTGGAAACAACACAAATGTCCTTCAATGAGAGAATGGATAAACAAACTGTGATACTTCCATAGAATTGAATACTACTCAGCTATAAAAATGAACTACCAATACAAGCAACACCGTGGATAAATCTCAAACGCATTCTGCTAAGTAAAGGAAATCTGACATAAGGATCCATACTGTATGATTGCATTTATATGACTTTCTTGAAAAGACAAAACTGTAGTGATGGAAAACAGATCTGTGGTTGCCAGGGGTTAGAGGTGGGGCAGAGTATGACTATAAAGGGGAGCACGAGAAAGTTTTGGGACGTTGCAACTGCTCTATATGCTGACTGTGGTAAGGGTAACACAAATCTACATGTTTTAAAATTCACAGAACCACACATCAAATGAAAAAGTCAAAGTTACGGTATGATAATTTCAAAAATTAAAAGTGGAAAACATGAATAAATCAATAACCTTGGAAGAAATAAATAAGACAATCCAAGATTACTGCTAAAAAGCCACCAGGCCCAGGGGGTTTAATGGACGATGTCTCTTAACCCTTCAAAGAACAGATGTTCTCCTCGTTACACTGATCAAGGACTTCTAAAAATATTGTTTCCAACTCTCCTTCTGTTATGCTAACTAGCAAAACCCTAATACTGATATCAGACAAAAAGAGTGCTAGGAAAGAAAGAAGGGAAAGAGGAAAGGAGGAAGGGAAAGGAGGAGAGAGCAAGAAAAAACTATGGGTGAATCTCACTTATGAACATAGTTGCTAAAATCCTAAATAAAATCTTAGAAAATTGAACCTAGCAACATATTGAACAAATGATACACCATGACAAGGAAGAGAAGAAAATTCCCAAAGGATATTTTAGGCTTTAGAGGAACTCAATAAAACAAAAGCTCAAGGTAAGTTGATAAAGCCACGAAGTAAGACAGCTGTGAGGCTAAGGGAAGATGCTTGTACATGCAGTGTATCTAAATGTACAGAAAAAGACCTGTGTTTCCATTTCTGACAATATTAGACAGTAGATATTCTTTAAAATTCACCACTAGGGGACATATATAAAGCCTGGATGTGTGTAAAGTCGTAGAATAGGAAGGAAGCTTTTCTTGAGCTGGTCTCAAGTGAGGCTTGCAGCAAGACACAAAAACCCCAATGTTTCTTTTTTTTTCCCCAATCCTTCCCTCCCCCACCCCATCTCCCCCTTGTCAACCACAAGTCTGTTCTCTATATCTGTGAGTTTGTTTTTGTCTTGTAGATATGTTCATTTGTGTCATATTTTAGATTCCACATAGAAGTGATATGGTATGGTATTTGTCTTTCTCTTTCTGACATACTTCACTTAGTATGATAATCTCTAAGTCCATCCATGTTACTGCAAATCGCATTATTTCATTCTTTTTATGGCTAAGCAGTATTCCATTGTATATATGTACCACATCTTCTTTATCCATTCCTCTGTTGATGGACATTTAGGTTGCTTCCATGTTTTGGCTATTGTGAATAGTGCTGCTATGAACGTAGGGGTGCATGTATCTTTTTGAATTGCAGTTTTGTCTGGATATACGCCCAGGAGTGGGATTGCTGGATCATATGGCAACTCCAGTTTTAATTTTTGGAGGAACCTCCACACTGTTTTCCATACACCAGCAGTGTAAGAGGGTTCTCTTATCTCTAGGCCTCTGCCCTTCCTGCCCCCAGCCTCCTGGTCAGTTACTACTTGTCCTTGTCATACCCAGGCTCTCTCTTCCAAGAGAACTCCTCCATTCCCATAGTCTCCTGCACAGACCAGCAGCATACATGCTTTTGTCCATATATGTTTTTCTTTCTCCAACTGAGCTGAAAGCTCCGTAAGGGAAGAAACCCCATCTGACCCATATGCATCTTAGCATACAGTAGAAGCTCGATAGACCTTTATTGTCTGAACTGAACCTGAAACACAGAAAGTAAAATTTTTAAATCAAGTAATGACATATTGATTTTATAAAAATGAGAAATGCTCTTTATAAAAAAAAATGGTCAAGGAATATATCAAAGTACAAAGAAGAAAGCTGCAAATCCCCCAGAGTCCCTGGCAAGATCCAGCATCTACAGATCCAATGATGGAGACAGAGAATATAACAGTCCAGATACTCTGAAATAATTTAATAAGAATACAGTTGGACTAGACATGTTAGATCTAATAAAACATATGAAATTTAATAATACTTTAATTTAACTTGAGAAAAAAACCTGAAGTGAATCTGCAGGAATTTTCTGAACCATCCATGAATGTTTCCACACCACAAGCAGTATTAGTGAGCTTTTAAAAGTGATTCAGACTCCCAGGCAGATGATCTGCATTTGGCAGAGTAGTTAACAACTTCAATTACTGCGTAACTTTGGGACTGGTTAAGGAGTTCCCAAGAGGAAAGAAAAGTTTTACTCAGAAACAAATGTATTGAGTTAAGCAATGGGGAGCTCAAAAACAATTATTATTAAGAGCTTCACTTTTTTTTTAACTTTGCAAAATTGGTTTTCATTACTTTCGCTCTTGGTTCAATAAAAAGGCTTTTAAATTGGCTCTTTTTAGAATTTAATAAGCTCCTTAAAAGTGATGCAACTATTTCTTAAATCCTGAAATAAGCTTTCCACTGCATTCAAATGTGCCCATCTGAAAAGGTTGATTCCAATCAATGGAATTTAACAGATACACCTAATTGAAGGATTACTTAGTGAGATTCTGTACTTCCCTACAGAATACAATGTAGGAGAGTCACTGCTCCTACTTTTCTGGAACTTACAATCTGGTAGAAATGTGTTCATTCGTTCTGCAAATACTTTTCACAAAAGATGACAACGTGCCCAGCACTGTGCAATACACAGTGGTTGTGATGTTTACGTCACACCAGGGGTAAATGACGAGGGAGGAGATCACTTTGGACTGATACAGTCACAGAAAAGTATCTCATTGGTGCAGTCTCCACCATTATGGTAGTATCAGTTCCAGAGATAGGAAAGTCATAAAGGTAGTGAGTTTGGGGTCAGTGTTACCAAGATTTTTTCAGTTGCCTGGTCTCACAGCTTCAGAGCAAATGGTATCTGTTTTAAGTAAACTGACTTTGAGATCCCTTTGAGGAACTCACAAGAAAACAGTCAATCCTCAGTTCTTCCAGACTCAGCACTCTACTGCACTTGTTTCCAGTCCCTGAACCTAAGGGTCTTGCTTTGTAGATGCTTTCTAAAAAGAGTGATGGACACTACTGTATATAAAATAGATAACTAATAAGGACCTACTGTATAGCACAGGGAAGTCTACTCAATACTCCGTAATGACCTATATGGGAAAAGAATCTAAAAAAGAGTGGCTATAGGTATATATATAACTGAATCACTTCGCTGTACACCTGAAACTAACACAACAATATAAACAGCTATACTCCAATAAAAAGTTTTAAAAAAATTAAAAAAGAGTGATGGAGTGGTCAAGAGTCTGGACTCTGGAAGCAGGCTGTCTGATTTCAATCCCAGCCTCTTCCCCTGGTGAGCTATGTGATCGTGGACTACTTACTAAATCTCTTTGTGCCTCAGCTTCCTCATCTTTAAAATGGGGATAATCATACTACCTATATAATAGTTTGAGGCTTAAATTGAATAGCAGATGCTTCGTAATTGTTAACTATCTTATGCTTCAAGTGAGGGAACAGAAAGAAAAGAGACCCATGGATAGAATATGAGTGGGTGAGCACACTTAAGGGGTAGGAGGGGGATGGAAAGCCAGAGAGGAAAGTAGAGAAAGGACAGAAGAACTGGAAGGTAGGTAACAGATTGTGGTGCCCTAGAAAGCAAGGAAAGACAGAGTCTCCAGAAACAGGAAGGCATCAGCTTCAGACCCTGCGGTTTGAGGAGCAAAGGTCATTGTATTGGGGAAGTAGGAGGTCCTCGCTCATCTTTAAGAGACCAGCACCACTGGCCAATATTGCTTTCTTGTTATCTGAATTTGATATTTGATATTTGAATTAGTACAACTGTTAGCCACTTGTCACTTCCTCTGTGATTATATTTGGTCAGTTTCTTAAAAGATGAAATACTGTGTAATGAGATAGTGTCTGGCTCCATACTGGCTCCAGCAAGAGCAAGAACAGTGATTCTTAACGTCACATTTTCAAAATGCCAGGACTTGTATATTTTATAATAATATGAACTCTCGATGATGATGATTCATAATAATGAGTAATGTAGTGCTATAAAATATACTTTTCAGAAATTTTCAAAACCGAGATCTCAGTTATATCTCAGAGTACCTCAGTGAATGAAAGGTCCTGCAAACATAAATATATTTAACTTCATCTATGAATCAAATAGATGCCTAGTGATTCATTTAATATTATGGGACAAACGGTTTCTGGGTACCTGCTTTTTGTAATATGCTAAGGTGTGGTCTGGGAATTGGTGGATGGTTTGACCTAGTCCTGAACCTCAAAGTTCAGGAGAGAGAGGTAAACAATCTTAATGTAAGCCAATCAATCTATGGAAGCAGTGAGCACAAAATACAATGTGCAAACTGACAAAGGAATGACCCACTTAGCCTGGAGGAATTTAGAAGCTACACTAAGGAGGTGACATTTGAACTAAATCTTGAAGGCTGAGCAAGGACTTGCCAAGTGCAAAAGAGAGAAAAGGAAATCTCACTTTTTAGAAAAGTGACTTAGGTGTCTTGTCATCAAAACAGAATATCGGGCTTCCCTGGTGGTGCAGTGGTTGAGAGTCCGCCTGCCGATGCAGGGGACACGGGTTCGTACCCCGGTCCGGGAAGATCCCACATGCCGCGGAGCGGCTGGGCCCGTGAGCCATGGCTGCTGAGCCTGCGCGTCCGGAGCCTGTGCTCCACAACGGGAGAGGCCACAACAGTGAGAGCCCGCGTACCGCAAAAAAATAAAAAAAACCCTGGAAATCCTACCCTATTCTACTCCCATCTTCATAAGTAACCAGTGTTAAGAATTTGCATGTCTCTTTTCGGAATTTTTTTAATACACTTTAACAGGTATGCGTATGAGTTGGTTGTTCTTTGTTTGTTTTGTTTTTAAAAATATCACATTATACCTATTGTTGTACAGCTTGCTTTCTCCACCCAGATGTATTCCTTGGAGATGACTCCATGTTAGCACATGAGGAACTACCTTGTTCTTTCTCACCAAGGCATATAATTTCATAGTATGGCTAAATCATACATTTAACCAGTCCCCTACTGATGGACTTTCAAGTTGTTGTTGCTATTATTATTTTTATTATTACTATCATTGCTATTAAAATGTGCTGTAATTTCCATCCTTGTGTATTTATCTTTGAACGAGCATACAAGTATTTCTGAGTAATAGGTTCCTAGAAGTAGAGTCAATAATGTGTATTTCAAACTTTCATAAATAACATTGGGTCTCTTTTGCCCAGTGATTCCCAGCTGGGTGAGAGAGAGTTGCCCCTCTGTGTTGCCTGGGAAACTTGTCAAAACCACCTGGGCCATCCTGACATGCACACCCCCATCAGATTCCAGGGGGTAGAGAAAGGGGGAGAAGTGATATGTGTAGTTCCCTGGGTGATTTTTTCCATACCTCCGTCTCTTGAGGACCATTGCTTTAGCTCTTCTAATTAGGGGACTGATGCTCTGAGTTAATTCATTTTCCACTGGAGAGATCTGTGTTGGCCACAATCCCTGCGAGAGAAAATGTTCCTTTAATATTTGCAGGCCCTGTATTCTTCAAGAAGCAACTCTTTTTTTCCCCAGAGTCAACATCGTTTAATGTGAACACTTCCCGGTTCAAAAGAATAGGTCAGTGATGGTCTACAAAGCAGGAGGGAACCCAAGAGTTTTTCTATTTCATCTCCAGGCCTCTAGTCAAAACCATATTTAACCACTTAGGGCCTAAGTGCCTCAATTGCTTCATCCTTATCCCGACCCCATATTCCAGGAGACTGTCCCAAAAGCTCCTCAAATAGAATGTTAATATTTTGGGGGAAAAAATAAATAAATAGACAAAACAATGAGGTTGCTCTCAATAAGATAGGAACCTGAAATTGGACATAAAAGGCAAAAAGACTGTTTAACCCCTTTAACAATTTTCAGACAAGCAATTGAATCTTTGTGTAACTTCCTTGAAAAAGAAACTTTAACCTAAAGGGTCAACACACTTTACTAGAATTCAAAGGCCCAAGATTTTAAAGAAAGGACTAAACTTTAGAAATGGGGAGTAATTATCTAAGAAGAGAGAAAAATGGAAGTTGGGGATATTTTTAAAAATAGCTTCCAAGCACAGGAAACACCATCATCATCACCATCATCACCAACAGCTGCTCTCCGTTTTCACCAGGAATGAGTCACTTAGACATAGATTTGAATTACACATAAAGACAGACTTAGCACATTTCTTAAAGCAAACCTTCATTCTAGTTAAAGCATTTAGTTGCACTTAAATTAGAGACAATAGATTATCCTTCTTTTTGGCATGAGAAGCTATATGAAAATTGTACCAAGTTGTATGTAACCCCCAACATGTCAGCCTACTTCTGACCAAGACCCTCTCCTTAACCAAACTTGAGTCAGGCTCCCCTGAGTCCTCTTCTCAACTAGGCCCCAACCTTCGGTTCTGTCCTTGGCCTACTTAGTTCAGTGTTAGCAAGAATCCTGCTGGGTCAGCTTAGCAAAAATCCTCACTCTTGATATCTGACCAAATGCCTCATCCCCCACCTTCAATATCTTATCCCTCTGGCCTTTCTGAAGGCAGGAATCCTTTCAAGTCAATTTAGCCAGAATCCTCCTTTACCCCGATGCTTCCTCCTAGTAATTTTCTATCCACAGACCCCCACCCTGCTCCTTGGCTATAAATCTCCACTTGACCAATTGTATTCAGATTGGAGCCCAATCTCTCACCCCTACTGAAAACCGGCAAGCAGTGGTCCCTGTTGAAGAGTCTTCCTTACTATCTTTAACAAGCCTGTGGGAGGTTATCAGGAAAAGCACAGTTAACAAGGATAAGGTTGTTATGCAGATTTAGGTCCTTGCCTTCTCCATTGATAAGCGTTCTAGAGATTTAGTCATCCCTCTCTTCCTGGTACAAAGATGGAGACACCTTGACAAATGGTGATTTCCCTTATAAATGTAAATGTCTCTTTCAGAGGTTAGTTTCTACTTGGTTTTCAGATTTTCTCCTATGTCTTCTCTTTCTTAAAAATAATCAGCTCAAGATAATCCTTATGCCAAAGAGGCATAGTTTGGGGTAGCAAATTCTGTTCCCCTTCAGTAGTAATACTAATACTTAGTCACTTTCTTGACCCTCAACTTCTCCATTCATCTGCTGCTCTCTGAAGAGAAGAGGAGCAAACAAAAGTGTCTGCCTACCCTGTTGATGAGTCCTTGGTGGCTCATCTTGGTGGCTGCTTCCCAGATTACTTACACAAGGGCCTGATCAAAACTTTTGAAACAGTCAGTTGGAAAGATTTATTTACCTTCTTAACCAATGGTTGCCTTTGACCCCATTCTCAGTCCAGTAGGAAGAAAAAGGATGATCTCACTCTTCCAGTTACAGTTGTAAATCATGCAAATCTTACTTTTCCTACACATAATAGAAATCATTCAACAAATACATATTGAATTTTGACCATATATCAGAGACTGATCTAGGTACTGGATCTACAGCAATGAAGAAAATGGAAAATACCTGCCCTCATGGAGCTTACCTTCTGGTGGGAGTGATCTCGGGTGGCCTCAGCCTGCAGCTGCTTGAAGCAGGATTTCAGTTCCCGACCAGAGACTGAAGTCAGGCCACGGCAGTGAATCCTAGCCACTAGACCACCAGGGACCAGTGGCCAGTGACAAGGCCCTGGCCCGTCGGCTATGTAGAAATGAATTCCCTCAAAGACAGAAAGTAGTGAAACAAGGAAAGTGTTTATTAGGAGGAAAAAGAGTAAGTGTGGATAGACATATGGGTGGACTCAGAGAGAGAGTCACGTCCTCGTGGTAGTTTGAATCACTTATACGGTGCGTTTCTTCCAGCTTTCCTTTGGCCAATCATCTTGCTTTGCCTGGTTCTGAGTCCGTATTTGGTTTATCTCAGGGTCCTCCCATGTGTGTGCGTGCATCTCTTAGCCAAGATGGATTCTATCTAAGAGCCTATGGGTAGGTTGACATCACTCCCTTTTTGACCTCCAAGGAGCCTCTCTGCACACGTGTAGTCGGGAAAGTCTCCTTGACCTTGAGAATGAAAAATACATGGTCTCTATCTTTTATCTGGGCAGGGCCCAGCGCCTCTCTCACTCCTGCTACTTTGGAGTATCTGTCCATGAACTCCAGGGGACAAACTCCAGCTGCTCGACCTGGGGCCCATCTATCTCCTGCCTCCAGAGGAGGACAATTAACCGGGGGAATATGGAGTACTATAAGTGTACTGCAATTTTAAATATGTTGGCTATATTATTTAGGGTCTAGACAGGAAACAGAAACCCCACTAGTTAAGTGAACAGATAGAATTTAATCTAAAGAATAAGTAGATTTTTCTCCTCCCTCCAGCCCTCTTCTGAGGTGAGTTTCCTCTAGATGCTTATCCCTCTTCTGGATTATTTTTCTGTCCTAGTCTCATCCTTCACTGGGGGATGGAGGCATCATCAAATCAGAAAATGGAGCACTAGCTTCCAGTCCAAGATGATGGCATAGGAAGACTGACCTCCTCCCACAGACACAATGAATCTAAACCTATATAGAGGAAGAGCAATTCCTCCTGAGGAAGAAATGAGGGCTGATTGAACAGCTTCAGCACAACAAGAAATAGAGGGACCACATAAAGACAAACAGGAGAGAGATGGAGACCCAGTATCTATGGGATACCTCCAACATAGCAACCTGCAGTAGAGAGAGATATCACTGAGAGCCCCACATGCAGACCTGCCCACCCTGGGGCACAGCAAAAAAATAGTGATTTAAAGGACACTTAGACTATACAAGAAGGAAATCCATTTACTAACCCTAGAGCATCTCCAAATGGACAGAAAGACTGCTGGAATTCTCTCCTGGGTTGGAGGTACCAGAGAGTACCAATTTTTGCATTCCCCCCTCCACTTGGATAGCACAGGTGGGAACACAGTCCAGGCACTAGCCAGCCTGCCAAGGCCGCCACAGCATGCCCCAGGACCCTGGCCCTCACCAGTTACATCTGTCACCCCAGTGAAGCCCTGGTGTGGCACACCCTGGGCCCCTCTGCCCATGCCCACTCCAGCTCCAGCTGTTCCACCAAGGTGGCCCCAGCACAGCATTCCCCAGGATCCCTCAGCCTATGCCTGTTCCATGTCCAACCAGACAGCCAAAGCCACCCACATGCAGTCTACACAGGGGATGCTTCTACACAAGACCATGCCTTCAAGACTGGGAGAAGTAGCTGTTTCACCTAACTCATGGAAACAAATACATAAAGCCAAACAAAATGAGGAGGCAGAGAAATATGTTTCAAATGAAAGAATTACACCCAAGGAAACAACCCTAATGAAACTTATAAGTAATTTACCTGATAAAGAGTTCAAAATAATGGTCTTAAAGATGCTCACTAAACTCGGGAGAAGTATGGAGGAGCACAATGAGAACTTCAACAAAGAGTTTAAAAATATAAGAAAGGATCAACCTGAGCTGATAACCTGGGGAAGAAAACAGACATCCAGGTCCAGGAAGCAGAGAGAGTCCCAAACAAGACGAACCCAAAGAGATACACAGCAAGAGATATCATAATTAAAATGGAAAAGTTAAAAAGAGAATTTTAAGGCAGCAAGAGAAAAACAATGTCACATACAAGAGAACCCCCATAAGACTATCAGCTAATTTTTCAGCAGAAACTTTGCAGGCCAATAGGAAGTGGCATGATATATTTAAGGTGCTGAAAAGAAAAATCTTACAACCAAGAATACTGTATCTGGCAAGATTATTATTCAGAGTTGAAGGAGACGTAGAGTCCCCAGACAAGCAAAAACTAAAAGAGTTTGTCACCACTACGCTGACCTTACAAAAAATGTTAAAGGATCTTCTTTAAGTGGAAAAGAAAAGGCCATGGGAATTCCCTGAAGTCCAGTGGTTAGGACTCCACGCTTTCACTGCTGGGGCCCAGGTATGATCCGTGGTCGAGGAACTAAGATCCCTCCCACCCCTGCAAAAAAGGGGAAAAAAAGGCCAAAAATAGAAATAAGAAAATATATGAAAGAAAAAAATCTCACTGGTAAAGGCAAAAATATAGTAAAGGCAGTAGATCAGCCACTTGAAAAGCTGGTATGAAGGTTAAAGGACAAAAGTATTAAACTATAGCTACAATAATAATATAAGGGATACACAAAATTGAAATATGTAAAATATGACATGAAAACCACAAAACATGCGTGGGAAGAAGCTAAAACGTAGTGCTTTGAGAATGCACAAATCAAAACCACAACAAGCTACCACCTCACACCTGTCAGAATGGCTGTCTTCAAAAACACAACAAATATCAAGTGTTGGTGAGGATGCAGAGGAAAGGGAACCCTTGTGCACTGTTGGTGGGAGTGTAAACTGGTGCAGCCACTGTGGAGAATAATATGGAGAGTCCTCAGAAAATTAATAATAGAACTACCATATGATCCAGCAACTACACTTCTGGGTATTTGTCCAAACAAAATGAAAACACTAATTCAAAACATGTACACACCCCAGCGTTCATTGTGACATTATTTACAATAACCCATATACAGTATTGAAGCAACCTAAGTGTCCATCAAAAGACGAATGGATAAAGAACACTGAGATACACACACACACACGCACACACGCACACGCAGTGGAATATTACTCAGCCTTTAAAAAGGATGAAATTTGGCCATTTGTGACAATATGGATGGACCTAGAGGGTATATGCTAAGTGAAATGTCAGACAAAAAAAGACATATACTGTATGATATCACTTTATGTGGAATCTAAAAAACAAAACAAATGAACAAACAAAACAGAAACAAATTCATAAATACAAAGAACAAACTTGTGGTGGCCAGAGGGGGTCGGGGTAGGGGAATGGGCAAAAGAGGTAAAGGGAATTAAGAGGTACAAACTTCCAGTTATAAAATAAAAAGTCACAGGGATGTAATGTACAGCATAGGGAATATAGTCAATAATATTGTAATAACTTTGTATTGTAACAGATGGTAATTAGACTTATTGTGGAGATCATTTCATAATGTAAAAAAATCAAACCACTATGTTGAACATTGAAGACTAATATAATATTATAAGTCAGTAACCGATAAGTTAAAAAGGGACTCTAAATTATCACGGAGTAGCAACTGAAGGAAGTAGCTACCCTTGTTAGGGCTGAGGAAAAAAGGGAAGAGGTTAGAAATATTAAATCAACCAGTCAACAGATGACGGTGGCAGTGGGTTTGTGAGATGTTCAGATTATGGATATGCAAAAGGATAAAGTAGCCAATAACTGAGATGGGGAAAACTACAAGAGAAGCAGAAAGAGGGGTGTTGGAGATGGAAGCAGGACCTCGGTTATGGACACTTTAACATTTAAGATGCCTATTAGAACCTATAATGGAAAAGAATCTGAAAAATAATCCATGATAGAGGTAGGTAGATAGATAGAGATATATATGCATATATGTATAACTGAATCACTTGGCTGTACACCTGAAACTAACACAACATTGTAAATCAACTATACTTCAATTTTTAAAAAGATGCCTATTAGACATATAATTTGGGATATAAACCTGGAGATAAGGAGAGTGGTCTGGACTGAAGATATAATTTTGGTAGACACCAGTTTGTGGTGGTATTTAAAGCCACGGGAACCATAGTGAAATAAAAGTGCGTTAATGCAACTATCTGACCAGCAGAGCCTAAATTCCCTCTGATATTTTTTACAAGGTGATTGCCTAAGTGTTGAGTAAAGGACTTGGGCAAACATCACAAGCATTATGTGATTCAGGCTAGAACTCGCAAGCAGAACATCAGCCACAGAAAGCACACAGTGCCTCTGTCTCCTGCCATCCCATGAAGTGGTGTATTTGGGCTAGAAACTGCTAAATACATCACAGGTTGTGCTCTAGGGAGGGACCCACGCTCCGGCTGCTCTCCCAGGGAGCATCTAACCAAGCATGTGACTATGACACCCTTATGATCATAAGAAAGGCCTTCCTAACAGAGACAGCCCCCCGCAACTGGCTGCCAGCTGACTAGGGACCTTGCATACCGTTGTGACATCACCTTCCTTTGGGAGATGGGGGAGCCACTGTCCCAGTTAGCTTTGCGGATTTCTAGCAGACAATTGTCCTATTTGTCTCTCCTCACCAACACATACTTGAACTCTGCCAAAGACTAGGAACTACCTGATTCCATATTTAAGCAGAATTACTATCGAACTACCTCTTTTACTTAATAAGTACAGTTGACCCTTGAATAACACAGGGGTTAGGGAACCGACCCTCCATGCCATTGAAAATCCGAGTATAACTTATAGTTGATGCTCCATATCTATAGTTCAACATCTGCGAATTCAACCAACCATGGAGTTCAACACCCATTAATTCCTTCCCTTTTAAGGCTGAATAGTATTCGACTGTATGTATATACCACATCTTGTTTATCTATTCATCCATCCATGGACATTTGGGTTGCTTCCACCTCTTGGCTATTGTGAATAATGGTGCTATGAACATGGATGTACAAATATCTCTTCAAGATACTGCTTTCAGTTCTTTGGGGTATATACCCAGAAGTGGGATTGCTGGATCATATGGTAATTCTATTTTTAATTTTTTTGAGGAACTGCCATATGTAATGTTTTCCATAGCGGCTGCACCATTTTACATTCCCACCAACAGTGTACGATGGCTCCAATTTCTCCACATCCTTGTCAACCCTTGTTATTTTTTATTTTCTTGTAGTAGCCATCCTAATGGGTATGAAGTACCATTTTACTTTTTGATGCATTCCAAAGTAAATTGCATACCTCCCCCCCTCAAAAAATACTTCAGAGAGCATATCATTAGCTGGAGTTTAAAATTTATTTACAGGCTTTTCTCTTTTGATATAAAGTTTGTATACAATGAAATGCTCAAAACTTTAGCATACATTTACTGAGTTTTGACCAGTGTAACCCCAATCCCTAACAAGATATAAAACAAAATTTCTTTATACCCTTCCCCATTTAGTCCTTGCCCCCAGAATAAACAACCACTCTGATTTTCTTCTACCATAGATTAGTTCTGCTTGTTGTAGAACTTGGCATAAATGTGATCATACATTATGTACTTATGGCAGGCAAGAGGAAGAATGTGCCTTGCAGACATCCAACTCCAGGGAGCATCACAGACCAAGGGCCACAGCTACTGGGCTCCAAAATCCATCGTGGTATTTGCACTGATGCCATGCCTCCCACTGGCTGCCCCAGCCAATGACTGATCCAGGCGTGGCACTAAGGCAGGTCGGTTCCTGAAAGAAACAAGACTTCTGACAGCTGACTTTGGCTTGAGGACAGCCTGCCAGCCTCGCTGAACCTTCCAGAGACTGCATGACAGTCTAGGATGCTCACGCCCACTTCCCTGCCCTCTCGCCTTCCCTTGGGTCAAACCAACATTACAGCCCATTGGCAGATCTCCCAGCCTTGCCGATGTCTCTCCGTTTCTCTCATAGTCATTTCCCCTAATAAAGTCCTCGCACATTTACTCTTGCCTGGGTATCTGCTTCTCAGAGGATCTGCTCCAAGACAGCATTGTTTTGTGTCAGGTTTCTTTCACTCAGCATATTGTCATCACGATATTTCTTAATTGGAGTTGTCAGAACTAAACACTGCACTTCCATGGAGACATCACAATTCTCTAAATACATCTCAGGTCGGGTCAGCATTTCCAGCATTTCCCATAGCTGACCCAAGGGAATGATGTACTTTATACTAAATTACTTCAATCATTCTCATGCATGCTGCTGTTGAGCCTCACCTCCCCCAACCTTTATCTGTTGGATTTTAGACACAAACAGAAAATCAGACAAGTAACTCTGTCAACTTTTCTTCCTTAATACAACAGCAGAAGTAATATGTACATGCAAAGATGTTTGCCCCAGCTGATTTAGATACACAAATGTGCACAATAGTGTAGAGATTAAGAATATGGGCTCTGGACCCAGCCTGCAGGGCCCAAATCCCTGCCCCAGTAGTGTATCAGCTAGCAGTGCTTTAGGCTGCAAGTTACAGAAAAGCAGACAAGCAGGGTTTTAAAGAAATAGTTCATTTTTCTCACATTATATACAATCTAAAAACAGGCAGTTCCTGGCATTGGTTTGCAGGCTTCACAGTGTCAGATCTGGCATCTCGGCAATTCTCTTGACCTTTCACTTACACTTGAAAGATGGTGAGATGGCTGCATAACCTTAAATCATTTCTTCTGTATTTGAGATGGTAAGACATACAAGGTCTTTGCTAGAAGTAACCAGCAAACCTATGCTTATGTCTCATTGGCCTCTCCTAGCTGCAAAGAAGGCTGGGAAAGCAGAATTGGGCTTTTATTGTCTAATGATGGAGGTGGACAAAGGAGAAAGTATTGGGAATGGGTGTCCAGTTTGCTAACCAGTGTAGACGCTATAGCTGTTGACTACCTGGACAATCTTGGGCAAAGTAACATAACATCTTATGGAAAACCCCGAATGAACTTTTTGGCCAACCCAATACTTCCCTCTCTCACCTCAGTTTTCTCATCAATAATGGGTATAATAATAAAATTTACTTTCTAAGTTTTGCTGTGAGGATTAAATCAGTTATTATATACGCATGTTTAGAACAATGCCTGGAACGTAGTAAGTCCTTAATTATGGGAGATATTATTTATCATACAGGAAAATCAAACATAACCAAAATGTTTATCACAACAGGATCAGTTATGTAAATAAATGTCTGTGTTGAGCTGATATAAGAGAATACCATAGAATGGGTGGCTTATAAATAAGAGAAATTTATTTCTCACAGTTCCAGAGGTGGGAAGTCCAAGATCAAGGTGCTGGCAGATTGTGTCTAGTGAGAACCCCCTTCCTGGTTTATAGATGGCCATGTTCTCCCTTTGTCCTTACATTGCAGAAGGGACCAGGGAGCTCTCTGGGGTTTCTTTATAAGGGCACTAATCTCATTCATGAGGACTTTACCCTCATGACCTAATCATCTCCCCCAAAACCCACCTCCAAATACTATCACATTGGGGATTAGATTTCAACAGACACATTCGGTCTATAGCATTCCACTGATCCAACTGGAATACTATGTAGCCATCAAGATGTCAGTTGATCATGATTGACGTTGTAAGATCTACCACGTATTGTTCAGTGAATACAAGTTATAGGACAATACATAAAATATGATCTCTGTTATATAAAATTATACACTGAGGAAATGACTGAAAACTTCTGGAAGAATTTAAGAAATCACCAAGACACCTCATTTACAGTTGTATAACTTAGTCCCAGATAGTGTTTGACTCAACAAGTATGCCCTACATGCTCAAGAATTTGGATTTTTATTAGGAAGAAAATCCGATCTTTGAGTGGCACACCTTAACTTCTCATTTTTGAGAAGTCATGCAATGTTATTCATAAAGAATGCTAATTTTAATTTGCATATTCAGATAGCAGAATCCTCAGATTTTTTTTTTTTAAACAGTCCAAGAAATGTAGGCAATTTGTTTACTCTGAAAGTACCCTTATGTCTATGTCTCAAAGGTGGCTCTGATGGCTTCAGGCAGATGTTCTCACCTGCCATTGAGCCCCATCACGTCTTTGGCTCCTTTCAGGGCAAATTTTCTGTTACTAAAGTAGAAGTGTTGACCAAACTATTTAACAGTAACAGTTTATCAACCTCTAAGCTTGAACTTCAATGTAAAGGAGCACAACCTTTCAGGAATTCATTTTCAAGTTTTACCCTCTTGGTAAAATATTCAGTGTGATTTGGAATACCAAATTCTCTGTGGGGTTTGTCTATTTCACAGGCCTCTGAACTACTCATGTGCTCAGGGAAGAAAAGAGCAGGCAAAACTCGAAGCTAGAATTTAGATTGGAGAGTACAATTGTAGAGAAGATTTTAATGACACATGCTAATTGCTAAGAGACCTGGGAGAGCCTTGCAGAGTGTTGGGAAACATCCAGAACAAAACAGCTGGAACACAGCATCTAGAAGAATCAGCAGATCCTCTGTTATATCCCCATCCTCTCCAGTAACTGTTATATATTTTGCTTTGGTATCTGTCTACAGATGGTGAGCACATCGCTGGGTTTCTGGGCAGTCATGAGGCTAAGAGAGACTCCTCTGGTAAGAAAAATAACCCCATTGTTCCCTCTTTGTCCAACACACTGGCCTTCCCCCTGGGCAAGATGGTGTCTGGATTCCCTGCCGCTCTCATATAGGGGTGCAGAGGGGGATACTTGAGCCCTTGCAGAGCCAGGAGATCAGCACCATTTAAGGCTCAGTGCCTAACACCAAGTTAGCCAGCACCCTGGGCACTGGAGAAGTCCCAGGTGTCTATACCTCACTTGCCCTCACATTTTTCACTTCATTTCTTGGGCTGAAGGCATTCTCTGGCCTCCAGAGCCAGCTTTGCCTGCCAGGAATTCATGCTCAGGGGTGGAGGATATGTAAATGCACCAGCTTCCTTGCCTTCTAGGCAGGATAACTCATTTTCCAAAGTTCTCCTGCAGGACTGAGCCCCAGTCACCTGCAGTGGCAACTTGCTCAATAATGGACCATTTATTGGCTGCCTTCTCTTCCCGGTCTCCCTTCTCCACTTCCCTCCCAGTGTCTCCTGGGATCACCCTCAGAATAAACTACCTGCTCCAAATCCTTGTTTCAGAATTCCTTCTGGGAGAATCCAAATGAAAACACAGACATTGAAACCGAGTGCAGGGAGGAAAGGAACAACTATCCCACACAGCCTTATGATGAGGTGAAGCAAGAACAGGCTTCAGGGTCAGATAGGACTGGATTCTAATCCTGAGCTGTCTATATCCTAATTCTGTAACTCTGGCCAAGTTATATACTATCTTGGAGTCTCAGTTTACTCACTTGTAATATCCTTCCTCGTAGGGTTGTTGTACTGAACAAGATAATAGGTGTAAAGGGCCCAGAATGTAGGATGAACTTGAAAGTGGATGAGATTATTATCACTGAGAGCCTCCCAACTCCCATCGCCAGGCTATACTATGCAACAGAAGACTGTACTTTCTGTTTTAAAGTGGCTTCCCAAAGAGAACTCTTTTTCACGCTCATATGCCCAGTTCCAATTACTCTCAAACACCGAATGTGGAAATGCCCCCTCCTCCAGCCTGATTTGGGCAAGAAATATGCTTTAACACCTAAGAGATGAAAATTCACCGAGTTTCTTTAAAGGTTGATGTCTGCCCTAACTCATTGCCTGAAACCAAGCAGATGGTCCTCAGCCACATACATCACTTGAGATTTTTCAACAGAAGCAGCCATTTATATCAGGGGAGCAACAAAGCCCATCATATGGAAGGGGTAACCTTCTGGGAATTTGGGGAAGCACACAGAATATTTCACTTTCCCAAGGGACCCCAGCATATGCTGTGGTCTCATCTGGTCCCCAGGGTTTTTGGAGACTGTATTTTGGGATTGCTCTGGTGTATTTTAATGGTGGAGTTACCACCGGCTCCCTTAAGGGCTAAATAATAATCATGCTTTGAATTTGCATAGCACTTTTACTCCTTTAAGTGTGTTAATATATAATATTTTGTTTTATTTTGTATTCCAGTAGTTCTCACAATCAAGAAATTGTTCCTCTTTTTCAATCAGAGTTTTTGTAAACCACACAATATTTCTCATGGTTACGTCCCTTTGGGATTTATAGACCAAATAAATCCTCCTCTGCATTAACAACTTTCAATAGCTGTAGATCACAGCCATAGCCCATTTCTCTCCCTCCTTTCATGCTTTTATCCATCAAATTCACTCCAAACCCATTTGAAAGTTGGGGCCAGGGGTAAGAGTGCCATAAAGCACCATAAAACTCCGCCAGCAATGTCTTCAATATACCTTATATATTTCCTCATCCTTCTTGCCTGTCATTTCTTATAATTATTTTTGTGCCTATTTTCTGGTTTCAGGAGAAAAGAAATATCCTAGGTCAAAATGTCAGCAACATCACAGTAGAAAAGAAATTTTCAACTCTCAGGCCTGCAGAGTCTCTTTCAGACAAAAACAATTCCAGCCATCTTGGATCTTCTTGCCTTTCTTTGTTTTCCTCCATCTCTAGGTGAAGGCATTTAAATCCTTCTGCACCACGGCTACAAAATGAAATAATACAGCTAATGCAGATTCAGTTACTTCTTTCCCTTATAGCCCATTCAGACATCTTAATCTGACAGGCCTAACAGTTGAGAACACTTCCCTGTAACTGTTCTCACACACACACACATATACACACACGCACACACACACA